TCATTGGTTAATTTTGATTAAAACCGAAATCATTTTCAGTATGTGTGTATATTATATATATATATATTTACTGTATTTTTAAAATGTATTTATGGGGTGGGTGGCATGGTGTGGTTGCTTGGTTAGCACGTCCGCCTCACAGTGGAGAGGTGTGGGGTTCAATTCTGGCTCCAACCTTCCTGTGTGGAGTTTGCATGTTCTCCTCGTGACTGCGTGGGTTTTCTCCGAGAAGTCAGTTTTCCTCCAACATTCCAAAAACATGCATTGTAGGTTGAATTGTCCTTAGGTGTGATTGTGAGTGTAAATGGTTGTTTGTCTATGTGTGCCCTGTGATTGGCCAGCAACCAGTTCCCCTATTGCCCCAAGTCAGCTGGGCTCGGCTCCAGCAACGCCCGTGACCCTCGTGAGGATAAGCAAATTAGAAAATGGATGTCTGGATTTATTTATTTTTCATGAACAGAGGAGCACCAACAATTTTTCCCCATGTGGTTATTTCCATTTTTGTCCCCATTTGCATTTGTGTGTTCTTCCAATGACGACATAAATCGCCAAAAGATGTCACCAAAACCCTTTCACGTAGCAAAGTAGCAATTTGTGTCAAGAAAGTTTGTTGAAGTGATGCATCTCAGCTTTTAATTGCATCATTCCTAGCCCTTTGCTCCTCAATGCTTCGACCACAACCAAGAGGTTGTTCTCAAGCAGCCATATTATCAAGGGTCTCAACTTTCTTACATGCACATTGAGAAGCAAGCATCAAGGCGGTGCCACGAAGCTCACATCAAGGGCACGAACCTCTTTTAAAATCCACAGCAGTGACAGATAAAAACAGAGAGTTGCCGGCTGGATTGGAAGCAGAACAGGACTTCAAATTAAATATGACACTTCAGCCTTTGTTTTTTGTAATTTCTTGATTAATGTTACCCCGCCTACTGCCCGAAGACAACTCTGATGGGCTCCAGCAGGCCGTGTGACCCTTGTGAGGATAAACAGATCAGAAAATGGATGGATGGATGGATTTTTGTTGAAATATGTGCATTCTGCAGAGTGTTTTATTGGGCCAGATTAAACCTAAAATTACTTTAAATTAAACTGGTTCATAGTGACCACTTACCAGGTCTGTAATTGGGATGAAATCTTCTCAAATGAATGTAGCAACATCAAAAAAATAAAAATGACGCCAAAGTTTTGAGATTGCAACCTGTTTTGGCATTGCAAATAAACGTATTAAATGAAAACAGTATAATTCATTTATATTAGTCTACCACAATGGTAAAATAAACATTTTCAAATCTTTACAAACGTGTCGTGAGTAATGGGTGCAGATCTTGGGGCGCTGAGGCAAGAAATGCCCACTCGGGACTGACTGCGTGCTTGTGCAGAGTAACGGTGTTGATCATGTTTGACTTTAGTTCCACTTGAAACATGAAGTGTACATGTGTTGTGATGGTAATAATTTAGAGACAGAAAAGATCAAACTTGCGACAACACGTCAATGATGTCTCCTCATTTTTAACTGACGCCATCAGGTCGAGAAAATGTAATTTCTCAAATCCTTGGTCCCTCCTTGCTCACTGGCTGAGCTCCTTCGGTGGCATTTCTAATTGCAAACAGAAATGCAAGGACTGAGGAGGTTGCAAATAAAGCAAGCAGATTTAGCCCTCGACTGTTTTAAGTACTGTGGATGTGTTGAAAGAATAAAAATGAGTAATTTTGATAATATCGTAATTATACCATGATTTTCGAATTTTGTTTATTATTTTGACAATTATTTCCCATACTTTAATCAATAATTACAATGTTTTAAAATTGTTTTTCCAAGTGATTAATAAAAAAAGACAAAAAACTAAAAAGTATTCCTTTTTTTTTTCAAAAACAAAAGTTGTTGCAATTACATACACCATATCTAAAAGGCTGAGCCAACATGGAACTCTTACAAGAAAGGGGAACTAGCGTACTGTAATAGGAGATGAGGAAAGCCTGTTGTAATGCAGCGGGTCAGTTTCACACCGAGCAAAACCGCAAAGCAAGCAGTATACAAGGAAACGCTACACCATAAGGCTGAGTATGACTTAGAAATCAAACCAAACTAGACTTCAGATCGCAACATCTTGAAGACCATTCAAAAGAAGATAAAAGAAAAGTCAGCTGCTTCTACACAATATTCATTTGGCTCTTCATACTACACATGGAGGTTTTGATCAAAAATTGTTCTATATTAGTTTTGAATTAACTATCCAGGACTAAAAAATTTGTTCTACATTAATTTTGGATTAACTATCCAGTACTAAAATTAAAATGACTTGTCATCCAAATGCAGCAGCAGCAACATTGGAACACAGCACAAGTACCACATCAATGCAACAGTGTTTTGTTACTGACGCAGCTGTGTTGCACAGGCCTGGAACTGGAATGGAAGGCAATAATCCTAGCCATGAAGGTTTTAGTGAAAAAGTGACTAGTATAGCCTTTCATGTAGTACATGAATACAATTTTACTGCTTTACAAAAATAAAAATATGGTGATATCACATCTGGCTTTTAATTCATTCTATGTCAAGTATGCATTTGAAAGTGTTCCTTTCCTTTCACAGATGTGTTAATTGGAGACTGCAAACATTGTCCTGACCCATTCAATCACAACTTATTCAGACTGGCAAGGCGAAATAACGGAGAAGTCCTGCTTTGACCAGCACAAAACGATAGGGGACTTAAGACTGTTCTTGGGTTTCACACTCTGACACCTGATAATGTAAACTCATCACACTCAAACAGTGTTTTGTTTGAAAAGAAATGCCTGTGGGGAGCCTGTGGATTTCCCAACTACTAGAACCGTCTCATACAGGCTCAGACAGGCAGATTGGGCGTGCTTCAAAAACCACCTGACCAAAAAACAGACACTGACTTTCTCGCATAGAAACAAATTATGTTGGCTGTGATGTCTCTTAAAAAGTCACACCAGTGTACAAAAGCCAGATTTTTGTGATAGAAGAAATGGGAACAAGATAAATCATTTCAAAACGTTTTCTAACCTACTTTGTGAATACCTGTGCAACTCAATTGAAAAACAAACTCTTGTCTTTTAAGGAGGAAAAAAAATATAATAGCCTGGTTGCATAAATACACACCCCCTCAAACTAATACTATGTTGTTTTTTGCGGGAGATGTCTATTATCAGTGTGGCTCATCTTGATGTGGCACATACCTGTGCAACTCAATTGAAAAACTAACTCTTGTCTTTTAAGGAGGAAAAAAATACAATAGCCTGGTTGCATAAATACACACCCCCTCAAACTAATACTATGTTGTTTTTTGCGGGAGATGTCTATTATCAGTGTGGCTCATCTTGATGTGGCAATATGAGCCCACTCTTTTGGGCAAGCACCTGTAAATAGTAGTCATGAGTAAGCAGACTTAGTTTCAGAGAACACATTAATATTAGAATGATTAATTTCTGTTTGACCTGTAACTAGGTTAAAATATTACTAAATATTGTGGGTAATTTCTCACCATCCCGGGGTTTGATTTAATTAGAATTTAGGCTATGAGTTAATCCTAATGCATCTTGAATTGAGTACTGTATATTGCCTTCTTTCATTTTAACTTAACTGACTACTTTTAAAAGAGTATTGCTAATAAAGATAAATGTAGTTGATGGGCTTTAATATATTGTGCTGATGAGAGCGTAATGAGGAGTTGAAAGTGGTATCTTGATTTACGAGTTATATGACTAACATCAAAAGTAAATTTACTCTTATTGTGTGTTAAAATATTTTTTCTCATAAAAACTGTTGTAGCGTTCGCTAACAGCTATCTATTAGCTGTGTATCTCAAATTTTGACCTGTAAGTACATTGCATAAAATACAGACATTGCCTATAAAGGGTTTATGACAGACGCAATTTGAATTAGTATTAGTGGTCACAAATTTCATTGATCTCAATGTCAAATTGTGTTTGGAATCCAAACAAATGAGTTGAACAGCTTCACGTGATAGATTGCATTCAACTTTGAAGGTTTCCCTTTACATATAAATGTGCACACAGGAAGCTACACACAAATGAAAAATAAAATACAGTGCTTCCCTGATGGTAACGGCTTATTTTTAACTAGATCCACAATCAACACCCACAGCTGCAGGTCTGGAAAAGTATAAATAGGAACCTGATGCAACAGACTAAGTAAATAGTAATGCAAAAAAGCCTTCACCATGTGGCTTCTCAGGAACGACTATTTCACCTTGTGCGTCCTTGCCATGTGGCCATGTCCATCAGAACTTTGCTTACTCCCTCATTCACACATGCAAACACCACAGCAAAAACATATACATAACCAACGTCTGCTGAAGAGGTCGCTGATATCTCACAGCTTGGCGACGAGATCCATGTTTGAAATGCAGAGCCACATGGGTATTTGTGGAGATGAACACTTGTGTCAAAGAATACAAGATGTCCACGCAGTTTGTTAGTGATCTATCTAGGACACGGTAACCATATGGGAGGGACGGAGGGAGGGGTGGTGTTGGTGTTTGCCTGTTTGGGGGAAGGGCAGCAACAGTCTGGACACCTGTTGAAACCCATGTTATAATTAAGTGATAGACAGATCGAATGCGAGTGTTACTTCAACGGTTTAAGAAAAACAGATTTAACAAATGAATACTTTTGTACTGTATGCGTTACGCGAGTAACGCCTGTTGCATAATACGAGCCTCTTCTTCACAGTTAATTCACAAGTTAGTTCGCGATCATTTTCACATTCACGTCGAGTTTGTCAGCTCAAACTAACCCGAACAAATAAACGTTAAACTGTGTAGCCTTAGCTGCACTTAAATGACGGTGAACAGTTCGTGTCAAAGCTAGTCTGCTAACGCAAACACAACGAAGTTGGCTAGCTTATGTTAGCAAACAATCCAGCAATGGACGAAGTCATTTCAGTGAACCAGTCAACATACCCAACAGACGAAGATCATTGACACAATGCAGTTTTATTTGCTAAGATGCCTTACCTTCAATAAGACCCGTAAACCAAATGAGCCATCGCGTCAAAGGGTTGAGCAGCGAGAAGCCACGCCACCGTCAAACCCTGCATTGGTGTTGCTGCTTCTGCTGCCATCTTGTTCGACGTCGAGATCAGCTCACTGACTTTTTGCACCTTTGAAGCTCCAAATAACAATCAGTTGACAATGCCGGCCATGACCCGTTGTTTCCCGAGACGTCTCACGTGTCGTCGAACTTTGCTTTTGAGTCTGCTCAGGGCGAAAAATCGGCGTTTCTAAACTTCTGCATGGTAATACGCCTTGTTGCTGACAGACGTCGGGGCTGCTGCTGCTAGCTGTTGCTTCCTCGCACGTGTGGAATGTTGGGTAGGGTTAGCGGGAGAGGGAGGGAGAGGGGGGAGAAGAGGTATTGAAGTGAAATGTCAGCCACTGACAACTGAGGAACTCAACAAATGACTTCATCGAATGATCATTTCTACTTAATCAATCCAAAAACTTCTTGTTGCGGGGAAGCAGTCACTCAACACATGACAGGTATTCAGAAAAAATAGTTATATAGTAACTAACAATTAATAAGTTGTAAAAATGTTGTGGGAAAAGTACGCATACTCCACTAAAGTGGAAGTACAGATGTTGGTATGAAAAAAAAATAACAATCATACAACAGCAGCAAAAAACAAAAAACGGCAGTGCCTAAACCTAAAGGTACAGGTACTGAATCAATTTACGATATGCACGTGCCACCGCAGCATATTGAATCCAGACGGAGGCGTGCTAACTTTCGGCCGCTCGTCTAACGCATAGCTATGGCGTCAAACTCTTTAAAATATACACGCAATGTGTTGAAATGACGTCAAATTACCATACATGACACAGAATCTTACTGTTTGTTGCAGTTATCCAAGTGTTGGCGTGCTGCATCACAATACATGCAGGTCGGTGCGAACATAGACTTGCACGGCTTATTTTGACATTTTTTTCTCTTTTGGTGGGGTTGAGGGATGGGCAAAAACAACCACGATTTAGAATACAACATCTTTATTGCCACGCTCTGTGGTGCAGATACAACAAATTGGAGCTTATGAAAAGAGAAGACAACCAATAATAAAATAAGAATAACAATAAGGTTACAGGTGCCACGGTGGTCGACTGGTTCGCACGCAAAGTAGTGATGTGTCGTTCGCGAACGAACCGGCTCTTAGAGACGGCTCTTTGAAGTGAACGACATGAGCCGGCTCCTAAGAGGGAGCCGCTTTAATGGGAGCCGACTTTTTTATTCCTCCTGTTTTTTTCCCCCTTTCGGTTAAAGCCGCACGTGATTGGTCAAGATCCGTGGTAGAAGAGGGAGGGGAGGGTTACACACACACACACACACACACACACACACACACACACACACA